AGAAAACCCAAAAGGAAGAACACGCACAGCATATTTTAAACTAAAGAATTCCAGAAAAAATTCAAGCCTCAAGTTTCAAGATTGAAAAATTCTATAGGCAAAATATTGAAGGATACAGGAAGCATCACAAGAAGATGGAAAGAATACACAGTCACTGTGCCTACAAGACCTAGTCAACATTCCACCATTTCAGGAGGTAGCATGTGATCAAGAACCCATAGTACTGAATGAAGAAGTCCAGGCTATATGGAGAAAACAAAAACTCACTGCCATCTTATTGCTGACTCATAGTGACTCTCCAGGACAGGGCAGAACTGCCCCTCTGAGTTTCTGAGACTACAACTTTATGGGAGTAGAAAGCCCTGTCATTCTTCCGAGGAGCGGTTGGTGGTTTCAAACTGCTGACCTTCCTGAGTGAAGCCCAACATGTAACCACTGCTCCACCAGGGCTGTACTTTATGCATTAGTCAAAAACAAGACTCCAGAAACTGATGGAATATTGATTGAAATGTTCCAACAAGTTGTCGCACTGGAAGCACCCATTTGTCTATTTCAGAAAAATTGGAAGACAGCTACTTGGCCAACTGACTGGAAGAGATCCATATTAGTGTCCGTTCTGAAGAAAAATGACCCAACAGAATGCTCAAACTATAGAACTGTATCATTAATATCACATGCAAGTAAAATTTTTCTGATAATTGTCCAACAACAGTAGCAGCAGCACAATGCACAGAGGTTCAGGTCAGATTCAGAAGAGGACATGGAACAAGAGACATCCTTGCTGATATCAATGGATCTTGACTGAAAAAGCAACGAATACCCAAAACACGTTTACTTGTGTTTTATTGACCATGATAAGGCCTTCAACTGTGTGGATCATAGCAAACTATGGATAAACCTGAGGAGAATGGGAATTCCAGAAGACTACATTGTGCTAATGCGGAACCTGTATTTGGATCGACGCAGTTGTGTCTTGGAAGAAGTATTGCCAGGATGCACCTTACAGGCAAGGATAGAGAGACTTTGTCTCCTGTATTTTGGACATGTCGGGAGAAACCAGTGCCCAGAGCAGGACATCATGCTTGGTAAAGTCGAGGGGCAGGGTGAAAGAGGAAGGCCGTCAACAAGATGGATTGACACAGTAGCTGCAACAGTGGGCTCAAACATAACAATTGTGAGGCTGGCACATGAATAGGTGGTGGTGGACACAGGGTCACTATCGGTCTGAACCGACTTGATGGCACCTACCAAAAACAACATCCTGGTGGCATAATGGTTACACATTGGGTTGCAATTTGCAAGGTCAGCAGTTCAGCCAGCAGCTGTTCCTCAGGAGAAAGATGGGGATATGGCAATTTCTACTCCTTTAAACAGTTACAGTGTTGGAAACTCACAGTTCTACCCTGTTCTATAGGGTCACTATGACTTGTCATCAACCAGATGGCAGTAAGAAAACAAAAACCACAGGATCATCTGGATGTTTTAGGACAGTTCATGGTCTCCCAACCTCAGCCACTCAAGTATTCCTACTATAATCCCACCCTGCCAGACATCTATTTACTTCCTGTTTCTTCTTCCTCTTGTGTCCCCATTTTCTCCCTTGTGCCTGTGTTCTCTTCCAGGACCCAATTATTGTTTTAAAATGTGGTGGCTACATCTCTCTGTAGAACTCCAGCTCCCCACCCTCATTTCGTGCATGAGTGAGCCACCCTGGGCTCCACAGAAGCAAATGTGAGCCATGTCCCACGGTGACAGAGCCTTCCCTCTTGTGTGTCAGCACATCACGGCCCATCCCTTCACGTCTCTGCAGTTTTTCATTTCTAGCCCAAGAGACCCAGAAGCCAACCTGGAGGTGAGCCCCGAAGGAAGACACAACCATGCCGACCATGTGCACGATGAAGAACCAGACTTGGTCCTTGGGAACTCCATTAACTCAGACGAGGAAAATGGGGGTCCTCAAGTCTGCCGTGTGTGTGGAGACAAGGCTACTGGTTATCACTTCAATGTCATGACGTGTGAAGGATGCAAGGGCTTTTTCAGGTAGCGTTACCTGTCAACTTTCACCCACCCACCACTGCCAACCCCTGGGCACACAGATGGGTGGTGCTGCCCATAACCCCCCACCTGGAGCTGAGGCTGGACCTGCTTCCACATCAGACTATGGGCTGGTGGGCCCACCAAACATCTCCTAATTAGTCTTAAGCCATCAATTCCATCTCAGAGGATTCCCCGACAGGCCACCTCTTGACTTTCCACTCTTCCTAGGAAAGCTCTCCTTCCCTGACAATGTAGCTTTCTATCACCATTTGTTCTTGAATCAAATTGAAGTCCAGTTGGTAAAAAGGGGAAAGAATGTGGAAATCCAAGGTGCAGGTGTTCCTCTCATCTCTAGCTGGGAGACTGTTAAAGAATGACGTAAAACTCATAATAATGATTACAAAATAGAGGAGCTTAGGGGGTGTAGTGCTTACAAGTTGAACTGCAATCCTAAAGGTCAGCAGTTCAAAACCACCAGCACTTCCCAGGAGACAGGGCTTTTTACTTCTGAAAACAGTTACAACCTCAGAAATTCACAGGGGCAGTTCCACCCTGTCATAGAGGGTTGCTAATGAGTTGGCATCGACTCAATGGCAGTGAGTTTTTTTTTTGGAATTACAGAATAAGCTTCCTCTGAAACATATGAACAGAGGGGGCAACATATATATATAAAAGGCCCAAAGGCCCATGTCATAGCAAGTCCAAGCCAGAGGAGAGGGTTGGTGTTTGCCAGCTCTCCGTGGCTCAATGCCATGGATGGGGAAGCTGGCCTAAGAGAGAAGGGCCAGGGCAGAAAGAAGGCATGGGAAAGCGCTCTGGGTCTGCCCCAAGAAGAGATGGGGTGCCTGGGAAAGAGGTGCCAACTCAAGGTCCACACCTGGGGTCTTCACACATGCTCAAAACAAGTCAGTCTAACTTGGCCCTACACAGAGTCCATCATGTTCACGATCAATTTGAACAGAAATGGGCACTAACGGCAGGCCCTCCCTGCAATCCCAAACATGGGCTGTCCTCAGGATGGGGGTCCAGCTCTCTGCCTCCAGGGGCCCCAGGGGAGCTCGCAGACTTGGGTGGGCCCAGAGAGGCAGCACAGTCGACTGTGTGTCAGAACCAGTCAGGGTAACCCCAGAGTCAGCTTTGGGGGCTGACATGGTTGGGTCTGAACGTTTCCAAGGCCCCATGAGGTTGTTGGCCGAGGGTAGGCCCCCAAACGACCACAGTCCAGGAAGAGAGGCCCAAGGTTCAGGCAGAAAGCACCATTCTAGGGAGCTTTCCCAGTGCCAAGGGAGCAGCTGTTGTAAGGCTGTGCTCAGTTACAAGAAACCAACTGCTTTAAACAATGAGAAAACATGTGAATGTCTCATAACAGTAAGGCTGCCGGCTTCAGGGTTGGTGAGTTCAGCAGTTGTGGGGCTTTGTTTTGCTCTCCTTCCGTTCTAGTCGGGCTCCCACCAAGGGCTGCGGGCAGTCAGCCCATTTTTCCTATCCAAGAGCTTTCCCAGGACCCCCAGCACACTCCCAGGCGCCCCAGATGCTGCGCCGAAGTGGGAGGGTGGGCATCGGAACTCACCCGGTTCTGCCAGCTGCGGAGAGGCTGCTCGAGCTTCGTCCAAGCAGCACCCACTAGGGGGGCCAAGGGTTAGGAACCGTCCTTCCCCCCTCTCATGCGGACGTCCCTGAAACTCCCAGAGAAGGCGAACAGTGTGGCAGGAGGAGGGGCGATGGAGGC